ATACATAATATATATATATATATATATATATATATATTCATGAGCTTCCGATACTTAGCTATGGTTAATTAATTATGAACATGTCATTTTCGTTTATGATCGATTTCATCACGATTCTTCTGTTAAGCTAGGAGAGAAACCATATATTCTTATTGCTCATTGTAGAGTCCAATAGTGTTATAAAATCCACGGAGAATTGCAGTAAGATATCTTTAATCATTTCAACGGTTCAAAGGTTAATCTAACAAATGGACAATTTTGCTGTTACGCCCGTCAGTCAATCCGCTCCGTTGCATAATGTTGAAAAACATTTGGATAAAAAGTACTGATTGATTGATTCCTTTTCTTCGGCTTATGAGCCCTCAGGAATTTTGTTTATATTGTATGAAGGGTGGCGCATAATAAGGGTTAAGTGATAGAATTTCTCATGGGATCTTACCCATAATAATAATAATAATGGACTATTCCATATTTAATAAATACTGCGCCTCAGGAGTAGGCAAGGAGGCAGTCGAGTCAGTAGTTCAAGGGAGTGAATCAGTAGCTCAAGTCGAATCAAGAGTCGAGTCAGAGGCAGTCCGAAACAGAGTCGCGTTCAGACAATTACTGCAAAACATTGGAATAGTGATACTGGTCGAGACTACATTGTTCTCCCTACTAAACCTGATTGTTCGTACTAACACTTCTACTTCTCTGTATATATTCCTGTTTGTAATATCTTTGTGTTATTCCATACCTGTGTTCGAGTTCTTCTTTATTGGTTCTACCTTGGGCCATCACTGTGGTACAAGGAACCGGACCATAGCACAATTCTTACTAATTAATCCGTAGCTTGGGAGTACATGTTTTGTATTCAGACCTTGGCCAATGATATTTGCGCGTAGGTGAATATAACGAACCCAACTGGAATTGAAACTCAGCTCACCGATTAGCAATTCCGAGCCACTATCCATTACGCACCACCCGCCCACCTAAGCTTGTAGCACCTGGTATTTCCAATGCGGTCAGCCAACGAGCTACGAACCAGGCGCGATAAAGCCGCCTGACTAATCCTGAATATATGACTTTCCACTTACTGAATATTATGTAAAAAGAAAAATTCTTTCGTATTCAAAGACCCGCAGTAATAACTGAGGATAAGGAGGATATATAACAATACAGAGAAACACAGATGAAATGACGATGATTTGACTGCGTGTAAATAGCGTGGCATATCACAATTGTAAAGGTCTGAACAAATGAAACTAAAGAATGAAGCTCATCTGAACATTTGCCATGGAAATAGCAAGAGACTAGTGTTAGGTGTGTCAAGTTGTGTTTGTGAGACAGAGGCTCCATTGAGTGAATGTTTCTTGTTAATATGCGTTCAAGCTAATTAGACTGATAAGCCAATATTAAAAAAATGAATTTCTCAGTTTCAAGACGAGCTTTCATTTTAAATGATTGTAAATAAATAAAATTGCTTGAAATACATACAAATATTATGTCCTTTATCAGAAACTCCTTGCTATTTGGGAGAATTATTCCGAAAGCTACTTGACTTATTCTGAAAATTTGACTTGTCACTTGCATTAGATGAAGAAAAATTCTAAGGATCTTATCTTAAAACCAACTTTCTTAAAGTTTCGTGTATACAGCGCCCGTCAAGGTGAGATAAAGCTCTTGAATTTATTAAGATATCATATTTATTTACGTAAACATCGCTAATCTTAGACTCCAAACAAATGTTTAAATGTTTTTTTATATTATTTATATTCGGATTATTGTCCTCAATCTTATCACAAGGTTTCACTCATTGTGTCCTTCATTTTTTCTCAGGTCGATATCGATCTTCAGGGAATTCTGAACTGAAATCTATTTAATCTACGAGGGTAGACTGTTCTTATTTTTCTACCCACGGGGCTTTTTAGTTCTGCTCAGTTATTTTTAGTTCAACCTGAGTATGACGACAAACTACATCCGGCATCAAAGCCTCTGTCCGGAGGATTGAAGGTGTTGAGTAGCTTGGAACCATCTCTTAATTACTGTTGTTCCTAGATGCACCCTGACTCGGGGTGCAGGCACCTATTAGGGTACCAGCTATGGGCAAATAATGAACCCCCAAACGGGGTGGAAACTCTAAGAATATATAAAAATACAATATCTGTCTATATTTCAGAGATGATGTCTTGTAACTATTTACATTGTTCGGACTGTCGTCTTCATCTTTGTTGTCATATTCACGACGTTTCGGTCGTTGTACGCACCGGCCTTCTTCAGCTTCGGTTTGTAATCACCTGAAGAAGGCCGGAGCGTACAACTGCCGAAACGTCGTGGACATGACGGCAAAGGTGAGGACATCAGTCAGAACAATGTAAATAGTTTATATAAAAATACTTGCAATGCATTTTTGTAAATAAAATTACTAATGCTCCCAAGAAAATTAAGTTTCGTCATTAAATGACCCATAAGGTGTTGATATGCCGCTCAACAAACAAATACTATTAGTACAGCTCACTTATTGCTCGCCAGTTTCCACCAAGATTCAAGTAAGCATCTACAGAGAAATTTGTTCCACAGAGTACCAGTCCTCGGGATAAAATGTATGAGTAGGACTTCATCCTTACAAATGGATGACGGAAGATATGTTAGCAATTCGATGCAGCATGGCGAACCCTCGCTGTAAAAGTCTGAACTGGTGGAACTAAAGAGTGAAGCTCATCGGAAATTTAATCGGGCTTAAAAGAAATTAACATGCTAATTAGAGAGGGGTATGCTTATCTATACAATCAGCATTGAGATTTATACGCAGGAGACGAACACTAATCCCTAGTGACAAGAAGACGAAACTATCTTAGCCACATACCAAGTCCCTGAATGTTTTCCAAGCTGGGTATTAAATAGTAAAGTAGAAAAATAAAGGAAGATTGTTTAGCGTCATAATAGAAACGGATTCAAATAAGATCAATCTCACAATGGTAACGGAAGCACGAATGAGACAGGCTAACCAATAATCAGGGTTAAAATAACAAAGGAGACCGAATCACGTGTGCATGCTCTCTGATGATAAGTGGGGAGGGAAGGGGAAAAATCGACCAACCGAAAACGGACTGTCCCATTAATCTTTGTCACGTATATCCAAAGCTCAAGTACCCGGCGGAACCTTGGCATTTTAATAGATTAGAAAAACTCGACTCACTTCTCGTTTCTCACCCTTCACATAGGGAGTTGAGATGCCGCGAAACAAACAAATACTATTAGTACAGCTCACTTATTGCTCGCAAGTTTCCAACAAGTTAAAGTATACACGGCCCGACCCAAGGATTGAACTCACAATCACTATGTCCCCAAATTGACGAACAAATGACCACTAGGCCATTTTCTTTATTTTTTCCCCGATCAGCCATCCATCTGTCACGTTCCCTGGTAAAAACTGGTTTCCGGTTCTTTTTCGGTCCAGTGGAGTCTTATTTCCGCTTCTCTTGATGATAAATAAATTCGCTTTTCTGCTAAGTTTTTTTTTTTCTCCTGTAGTTATTCAGCACCTTTGTCCTAACCACGCAAACACTAACCGGGTTTATTCAAACGGGTGCATACTTCATATGTCAACCATGCTTGACGACCCTGTCAGCTCATATTGTCTAGTTATATCAATTATTAAACACTGCGGATGAATCACTTACACGAAGGAGGTGTCCACCCGATTCATCTCTTCCACCGGACATGGGTATCAGCTTTCGAAATTGCTGACCACCTGGCCATACTGACGATGTTTGATCGTCTAACTTCATCGGGAAAATGCTTGTTTTTCTTTTTTTTTCTTTGGAGGCTTTCGCCTGAGACGAACATATTTCCTTTGTCACTTGTCCCTCGACGGTAATTGCAACGGTCTCACCCCCCCCCGACACACACGCATACACCTTTTTCCTTGCAACTCCGTTTGATTTATCTTCATCTGCGTCGGCAGCTGAATCCATTCATTTAAGGGATGATGTGCTTTGACACATCGATGTAAACGCGCGGCATAATGTATGTACTGATCAGGCAATGGCCATTTATTAATTCACTGAATGAGATAGCTTGTTCGATTACTTGATGTCTTTTTTTTTTTTTTTTGCATCATCGACTTCATTATTTATTTGTCGCTTCTCTTTAGTATCTTACACTTATTTTATTATTATTATTATTGTTGATGTTATTATTGTTGTTGTTGTTGTTCATAATACATTATTATTATGATTAAACAAAATGGCTGACGTAACTTTCCCAATATCTTTCAACAGTTAAGCTGAAAACCAGTTTCCATAGATTTGCAATTTCAGTTCAGGTTTCATCGCTATCACAATTTTTATTTCCTTGTTCATTGTGATTGTGTGAACGCTGGAGAATAGTTTCATATCATACAATGTTAACTTTCCTATGTCGAACTCAGCCATTAGTTACAATGAACTTTCACCAGCGTCTAGTCTGTTTAAAATTTCCACTTTTTGCGATAACTCCAAAGTTGTTCTTTTCCTCTTATTCCCATCATCTTTTTCACCAATACAAGCCATTAGGGTTAAATAAGCATAAGCAATTATCCAAAGTAAAATTCCTGAGAAACAGAAATTTTAAATCATTTACATATCACCCAAATAGTTCAAATATATCGCATTAAAATCATGTCCGGATATGCGGGATTCCGGATATGCGGGATTCCGGATATGCGGGATTCCGGATATGAGGCACTCCGGGTATGAGAGATTCCTGATGAGGGATTTTACGGTATATAAGTCTCTAAAAAAATATGTCTTTGTAGAAACGTTGCTTGTCGTGTAATCAAAAACGGCTGTACAAAACAAGCAATTTTTAAAATTCATTCGAGAAATCTTAATAAAATTTCTCGAGTTTTCAGACCGCTAAACGAAATAAAATACTGCTTAAAACCCCGAATTAAAAAATCGTGGCAATTTTCATTGGTTCCACAACAGTCAGCAACGAGAATGAAAAAGAAAAAAAACGTGTATTCAATCTCCATTTAGGGTTAATTAATATTCCCCTTACTCGATGGAAAGTACACGTTTCCTTTCCTTATAAATATTCTTCTTCTTCTTCTTCTTCTTCTTCTTCTTCTTCTTCTTCTTCTTCTATCTGTTGTATCCCTTCAGGACGTAAGAGATCGTGGCTCTTCACAATTTCCTATGCATTGGTAGCTCTTAATACATAGTGTAATTTTGTTTTATCCCTTAAACCTTGTTCAGCGATTCATTTATTCAAATTCGCCAGGTAAGTTATGCGTTGTTTCTCTCTTCTCATCTTGATTTCAATCTTTCTTGTGAGTGCCAAATTTTACGAGTCCTCTTTTCTCATTATGTGCGCTAGAAATGTGAACAGTCTCCTTCTGATGTTAAGTAAAAATGTCGGCTTTGTTTCCGTTTTCTCTAAATCTTCGACGAGGCTCACATGTTCGGTCCCTGGTATTCTCAGCATCCTTCTGTAGAAGAAAATTTCTGTTGCTTCAAGTTTCTTCTTCATCTGTTATGAGGCCATCCAGCATTCTCTTCCATGTAGGAGGACTGATATTACATTTGTGTCTATGTGTGTGTTGTTGTTGTTTGGGGAAACTGTCCAGCTTTCATTGCCATATAGGAGAACTGATATTACAAAACTTCTCAGTAAAGAACAGGAAGGAAAAGACCAGATCTGTGTGAGAAACTGTGATCTGGATAGAAAGAATGAGACCACGCCATGGCAAGAAAAGCAGTAAACTGGAACGATGAAAGACTGTTGTAAATACTACTACTACTACTACTACTGCTACTGAAGAAGAAGAAGAAGAATCTTCTCACTTTGATATACGACTATATATATATATATATATATATATATATATATTATAATTTTATCATATAGACATAACCATTTTATCGCTACACTGGTTACCATTTTCGATTCTCACCCGTCGAAGTGCAGTTGAAATGCACTGAAACAAAGTAGCATCTTTGTAGTGAGTATAATGGTTTTGTCTATATCATAAAATTATTATAAATAAATAATTATCGCTCTAATATCGGTATCGAGCCCTCTTTCGGGTTAATGCTGTGAACATTGAAATTTATATATTACTTTCGTTCTCATCATCGGATATATATCTATATATATATATATATATATATATATATATATATATATATATATATATATATATATTCTAACGCCATTTTTCTATCTTATAATAACACTTCTGGCTGTCGTTCTTCGCTATTCTTGGTCTTGGGATTCTTGTGTCAGTTTTCATGTTGTCTCTTAAACGCAACTGAGATTGTTGAATTCGCGCCTCCTTACAGTCCTCAATTTCCTATGCTACTTTGTCTTGGGATTTTTGAACTTTCCTTTCAGAATCTGCCATCAACATAGAATCTCATTTGCGTATCTAAGATGCATCGTTAAAACGTGACCGCCGGATATATGATCGGTTTGCTGCGTGGGTTGAGTAAATCCTGTGGGACGACGTTTCCCTGAACTACGCCATTTTCTCTTTTTGTTTTAGTTGCTCAAATTTGCATTCGAAATCAGTGCAGCTATATGAATAAAAAAAAAACGAATCTCTATCATAACTGCTTCATGTTCGCACCACTCCTTGCCTACTTTATTATTCCATATCATTAGATTCCAAAACAATGCTTGTTATTTACAGAGAGATTTCGTTCATCAGATACGAGGCAAATTGGTTCTCTGTTCAAATATTAAAGGCCAGGTGGATAAAAAGAGTTTTCTCTGTTTTCGGACAATCCTTTCCAGTAAACATGCCTCTGAACTTCCGAGTCTGAACCTTTACTGGTTCCTTTTCTGTCTTTTTGAAGCAAAGTTCTGTCAATGCAACTAGTTTCCGATTTATGAAAAACATTATTATTATTATGATTACTACTTTTACTATTATTATTATTATTTATTATTATTATTATTATTATTATTATTATTATCATTATTATAATTACATCAGTTAAGAGAAGAGCTCGATTTAGGAAAAGATAATAAAAAGAAAGAACACAGCGTTTGACAATATTAAACAATGTCTGTCTTCTTCAGGAAAGTTTTGTATAACAAAAATCCAAGGAAATAATAATAATAATAATAATAATAATAATAATAATAATAATAATAATAAAATGGGAAGAAGAAGATGATGGTGAAGAGGATGGAGAAGTAGAAAATGAAGAAGATGAGGATAAAGGAGAAGGAAAAAGGCAGAGGGAATAATAATAATAATAATAATAATAATAATAATAATAATAATAATAATAATGGGAAGAAGAAGATGATGGTGAATAGGATGGAGAAGTAGAAAATGAAGAAGATGAGGATAAAGAAGAAAGAAAAGGCAGAGGGGAATAATAATAATAATAATAATAATAATAATAATAATGGGAAGAAGAAGATGATGGTGAATAGGATGGAAAATTAGAAAATGAAGAAGATTTTGCCAATAGAATGAACTCTTATTGAGCTAATAATAATAATAATAATAATAATAATAATAATAATAATAATAATAATAATAATCAACAGTTAAGAGGAGAGCTCGATTTAAGAAAAGATAAAGAAAAAAAACACAAAGAAAAGAAAAAACAATATTTAACAACGTTAAACAATATTTCAACAAAATGTCTGTCTTTTTCAAATTATGTTTAAACAATTTTTTCAAGTATAAATATATATATAAATCTACAACAAATTATAAGTCTTGTCTACGATTTATTACAGGCTGAGTACAGTACTTGTGGCACAAGCCGAGAAAGAGGGGAGATGAGTTATGGCTGGTCGACACTATCGTATACCTAACTAATCAGATTCACAACCCATTCTTTCGTTACAGTTTACTTATTCACTATAAGAATCTATCCGTCACCATTTGCTCCTACATACACCAATATACATCACATACACACCAAAATAAGAAAAACAGCCCATGACGTAAACATTTCAATATGTACAATTGTATATGCAAAGATGCATATAAAAATGCTATTAATATTATGAAATGATGGTGTGAGGGTGATGATGACTCCGAAAACAAGGTGAAAAAAAAAAGATGTTAGTAAGACACGCCCACACCTCAAAAAGGTATGTTGCCGTATACAACGTTGTCGCTGAATACTGTCTTCCGACAAAATCAAGAAGCTCTCTCTCTCTGTCTTCCGACAAAATCAAGAAGCTCTCTCTCTCTCTCTGTCTTCCGACAAAATCAAGAAGCTCTCTCCGACAAAATCAAGAAGCTCTCTCTCTCTCTCTGTCTTCCGACAAAATCAAGAAGCTCTCTCTCTCTCTCTCTCACTCTCTCTCTCTCTCTGTCTTCCGGCAAAATCAAAGCTCTCTCCGACAAAATCAAGAAGCTCTCTCTCTCTCTCTCTCTCTCTCTCTGACAAAATCAAGAAGCTCTCTCCGACAAAATCAAGAAGCTCTCTCTCTCTGTCTTCCGACAAAATCAAGAAGCTCTCTCTCTCTCTCTTCTTCCGACAAAATCAAGAAGCTCTCTCCGACAAAATCAAGAAGCTCTCTCTCTCTGTCTTCCGACAAAATCAAGAAGCTCTCTCTCTCTCTCTCTCTCTCTCTCTCTCTCTCTCTGTCTTCCGGCAAAATCAAGAAGCTCTCTCCGACAAAAATCAAGAAGCTCTCTCTCTCTCTCTCTCTCACTCTCTCTCTCTGTCTTCCGACAAAATCAAGAAGCTCTCCCGACAAAATCAAGAAGCTCTCTCTCTCTGTCTTCCGACAAAATCAAGAAGCTCTCTCTCTCTCTCTCTGTCTTCCGACAAAATCAAGAAGCTCTCCGACAAAAAATCAAGAAGCTCTCTCTCTCTCTGTCTTCCGACAAAATCAAGAAGCTCTCTCTCTCTCTCTCTCTCTCTCTCTCTCTCTCTCTGTCTTCCGGCAAAATCAAGAAGCTCTCTCCGACAAAATCAAGAAGCTCTCTCTCTCTCTCTCTCTCTCTCTCTCTCTGTCTTCCGACAAAATCAAGAAGCTCTCTCCGACAAAATCAAGAAGCTCTCACTCTCTCTGTCTTCCGACAAAATCAAGAAGCTCTCTCTCTCTCTGTCTTCTTCCGACAAAATCAAGAAGCTCTCTCCGACAAAATCAAGAAGCTCTCTCTCTCTCTCTGTCTTCCGACAAAATCAAGAAGCTCTCTCTCTCTCTCTGTCTTCCGACAAAATCAAGAAGCTCTCTCTCTCTCTCTCTCACTCTCTCTCTCTCTGTCTTCCGGCAAAATCAAGAAGCTCTCTCCGACAAAATCAAGAAGCTCTCTCTCTCTCTCTCTCTGTGTCTTCCGACAAAATCAAGAAGCTCTCTCCGACAAAATCAAGAAGCTCTCTCTCTCTCTCTGTCTTCCGACAAAATCAAGAAGCTCTCTCTCTCTCTCTCTCTCTCTAAGGGATGGGAAAAGGTTTTAAAATTATGGGCATTAGAAAATAGATGGCTGATTTTCTTTTGAGATATCATATAGCCATATTCCGTCCCGTTCGCTGTTTAATGCTATGAGGGATATACAAAATGGTAAGGGAGAATCACCCTAAGATATTCCTTTGATGATGTTTATTTCACCAGACTTATAGAATCCATTTATATGACTGAGTTGAAGTTTTGTTTTCCATATCAACATACTTCGTCTGATGATAGTCATGACGACTGGTGGTACCTTGAATATATTTAAAAACTTAAAATCCAGGAATGAAGTACACTATCTAATGCCTAACGGTAACCTATCCAGGCAGTACTGAGATTTTTCTTTCTATAGAAGCGTTTTCCAAGATCATCCTATTAATTAGTAATTGGTTTTTACATCTGTAAGAGCCACGTTTGCATCCTTTTTGTTCAAGAGGTACTATGTCATTTTTTATAAGAAGAAATATATCTGTTTTTTCAGAACAGATGTCAAGAATTTGTAACTAGTGAGAAGTCATGTAATTGATCTGGAGTTTTTGGGACATTTGTGTCCCCATTCTTGGATAGAAGGAAAATAATTCCTTTAGTTATTACGGAATTTTTGTAGGATCATTGACCATACATTATTTACATTATTCGGACTATTGTCCTCATCTTTGTCGCCATATTTATTACAACGTTTCGGCCGTTGTACTCTCCGAACCTTCTTCACTGGGACTGGTTGGAATGTCAAACTTTGTGGATTATTTCGCTCACTGGGGTATGCTGCTCAAGTTCCACGTGCCATGTTTAATGGATGTCACTTATCAGTTACCAATGCCTTTATTTAGTGGAGAACTTTCAGAGGGAAAATAACAGGAGATAACTGATAACTGACATCCATTAAAAACATAGGACGTGGAACTAGAACATTCTACCCCAGTGAGCGAAATAAAGGATTCAGTTCGACATTCTAACCACCTGAAGAAGGCCGGAGCGTACAACGACCGAAACGTTATAATAAATATGGTGACAAAGATGAGGACAATAGTCCGAATAATGTAAATAATGTATATAATACCTCATCTCAGAAATATAGACAGATATCATTGACCATTTCTTAGAGTTCTTTAGCTAGATGTTTGTGTGCTGTATTTAGATAATATAGTGTTATAGTGGAACACACCTATTCTTTAGTTAATAGACTCTCCCACCTATAATAAGTAGGAGTAGTAATAGTAACGGGGGTTGCTCAGTCGCTCAGTGGGTCGGTCAGTCAGTTAATGTCGGACGACCGTTAGTCGGATACTAAAGTATCAGCGACCACAACTAGATTTCTCTGCGTCATTACCTCTTATATCAAGTTCCTAACGTTTTGTACGTCGAACCTATTTTAGGACCGACTTAGTGCAAATACAAGCCTCCACTGTGAAACTGCTCAATAACATATAGCCAAAAGTTATGAACTTTATCTATTCCTGGGCATTTCCAGTTATGTACCTTATTTTTTCAGTTCACATTCAACATTTCGACATCGTCTTTTGTGATTCTTACCCATGTTTATTCTGGTTGATTTTCCATCTGTCATGACTCTTGCGTAATCTAAACTACTTTTTTGTTATGTTTTTGTTTTAAGGGCAAGTCCATATTTTCTTCCCAGAACTGTTTAACCTCTTCCATTGGGGAGAAGGGTTGTCACTTCAATTTTTTGTTTGCCTATTTCTCTGTAAAAATATAATTCTTATATTGTTCCCACGAGTTCAAATGCTCACCCACAGTTGCCTAGCACATTGGATATCGATCTTTTACAGACAGTGTTGATAAGCCTGTAGGGTATCATTCGCGACCTCATAACGCAACAGCCATTCACTCCTTGGTACGATGAACACCTTGAGTTGAGGGTTGTTGGTAGTTTTCCTTCTCCTTGATAGGTTGCTAAGAGACAGAGACATGATTGGAATTTAAAAAGAAAAATATTGGAAAAAGAAGCTATTCAACGAAAAAAAACATTATTATACTAGAACATTATGTTTAAATAATACATTACATATTTATAATTATGGAAAAGAAAGATGGCTATTATTAATGTTGTTGTTGTTATTATAATTATTATTATTATTATTATTATTCCCCTCTGCCTTTTCCTTCTTCTTTATCCTCATCTTCTTCATTTTCTACTTCTCCATCCTATTCACCATCACCTTCTTCTTTATTATTATTATTATTATTATTATTATTATTATTATTATTATTATTCCCTCTGCCTTTTCCTTCTTCTTTATCCTCATCTTCTTCATTTCTACTTCCATCCTTTTCACCTTCTTCTTCCCATTATTTTTTATTATTATTATTATTATCCTTATCCGCCTTTTCCTTTTCTTTTCTTTTTTTTTCTCTTCTTTTTTCTTCTTCTTCCTATTATTATTATTCCTATTATTATTATTATTATTATTGTTGTTGTTATTGTTATTTTTGTTGTTGAGACTTTTTAGTCTGGGACAGATTGCGCTTCAGGCTATCGCATGCAGAAATGTGCACCACGAAGGCGGCCCTGCGCCTATGCAACGGGGACACATTCGACCGCTGAGTCTACTCCCTGAAGGAAATGACTTGACGAGGAACTGCACACAGAATGGCCAGTGGAAATAACCTTTCTTGAAATCTACAAGCATTTGTCCAAAAATGAAATAAAATATAATAAAAATAGAACAAAAGAATCATTTCCCTGTTTTCATATCATAAAAAATTCTAGGCTCAAATCTGACGATACATCACTCGCAACGTTAATATGAAAAAGAGAAAGTAAGAAAGGCCTAACTGTAAATATCACTTGCCTACATCAACGGCAAAACCTCATAATGTGAAAGCTTAATGACAGATTTTCATTAGCAAATCAATTAATTTCTTAACTGTAAGAATGTTATAAGCATGTGCCCTGCGGTCTTGTTTCACAAATTCTTTGGAATTGGCTAAGCAGAGAAGGATTAAAAAAAAAGTATGATGGAGTTATAAACGCTGAAAAATATTGGCGAAAATAACATCCCAACCAACCACCTCTGCAAAGAAAAACTCAAATCGAATCGGAACAAGGGCGTGTGAAGACAGCAGTTGCGTTTACAAGAATCGTTGGAATTGCGAATGAGTGCCGGGTGGGCAAGGCCCCTTGTCGAAAATAAGATGCTAGACTTTCTTCTGGTACTATATCATGCAATGTATGCGCCTTTGGGCAATATAACGGAATCGACCTATTTTACGAGCGTCTTGCACAAGAGGAAAATATTTCTGGAATGCAATTAGAAAATTTGTCAACATTTTAATTGAAATTAAATAATAGAATGTTTTTTAGAATAAATTTTCTGGGCGAAGGGTATCACTGATTTTTAAAATATTCACATGAATCAATGGAACTATCTGTACACACACACACACACACACACACACACACACACACATATATATATATATATATATATATATATATATATATATATATATAGTGTGTGTATGCCTAAATGTAACTGTAAGTTCGATGCTGACAGTTTGGTCATAGTAAAACAAAGAAGAATTATATATATATATATATATATATATATATATATATATATATATATATATATAGTTCAATCCATATACGCTGTACAGTTCAACTAACCATTTCATACCATTGATGACATCAGATGCGTGCTCTCAGATTCTTTATTCAGTCCTCGTCTCGTTGAAAAAGAACACAGGGGTGTCCAAAAATTCCGGCTTCAAAATCTATTTCGTCGTGCCTCAATGCAGTCAAAGCGCTAATATATAAAAAATAAAATCAATTTTATTGCCAATATTTTTATCATTTCGTTGTCTTTTTATTTCCAAACTTTCATTAACTGGTCTGTTTAATATGCATACATAATATAACGATATGTAAGTTTGGACAATTTCATATATCAACAAACTGTGTTTAGAAAAATATTATGATAAATTGGAAAAAGTTTGTATTACGCGTTATGTCCGTTAGAATTTCATCAGACCAGGCTTTGTTGATGATATCACCTCTATGCATGCGCACGAAACGAGAGACGCTGGTAGTTTCAAATCTATTTTTTAATGGTGCTATTAAAATTCATTAAGGAGGGTGCCGTATTTTTTTTTTTTTTTCATTTATTTTATTTTCCCAAATAATTTCAACCTCACCCAAGATAATCATCAGGGGGGAATTGCTAAGAAACTGATTCGTGAATTTGAGAGGATTAAAATAAAATAGAAATAATATTATTCGTGTAGATTATTCGACCAAATATATATAATGATATATATATATATATATATATATATATATATATATATATATATAATAGTGGTTCAACGATATATATATATATCCGAAAAGAAGAGGGTGCAAAACGTTTTTGGTTGTATATTTATTCCAAAAATTCACTATGTTTTAATCAAAAGAGGACACGTGTTTCTGGTAGAGCGATAATTATTTATTTATTAAAGTAATTTTATCATATAATTTTTTTTTCTCTATATGATATTTCGGATATGCCGAATATATATATATATATATATATATATATATATATTCCATATAATATGAAGAAAAAATCCTTTAATAATTTTTTGTTTCCTTGAGGCATGGACTTCCAGGAATCCTTCATTAAAGACTGAAACACGGTGCTACGGTTAGGGCTCTTTTATTTAATTTTCTTGATGTTCGAACAATTTTCTTTCTTTCGGACAGAAAAAGTACTTTGACAACTTTTAAACTTCAATATATATTGCAGTCAGAACAAATCAATAATGTGCTAACTTTTTTGTGGTCTTTAAAACAATATCCTACACACTAAGATTGTTCTGTCAGAACGTATTAGTCCCATAGAATTGTAAATTGAATCATCTCCGATAATGGGTCTGGGTGGTGTTCATACCAGTTTTTTTCAGTTTTCTTCCTGAAATATAAAACATTTGGACAGTTCTTACACACCCTTTGTTCAGAAAAGAAAGCTCTTGTTCGAACACAAGAAAATTAAATACAAAGCTTAACCGTAGTACCTTGTCTGTCGTTTTTTAATGAAACATGCATATATATATATATATATATATATATATATATATATATATATATATATATATATATATATATATTAAAATATAGACATAATGGACACCCAGACACCCCTCGTCAAGTAAAATTCATCTGTAACCCTGGAAACATGAATTATGATTTTAGCTGTGTCTTTAAAACCCAGTAATTTTAAAAGTTACTCCAAAATTCGCTTGAGGATGAAATGGAACTAATGTCTTTAATTTAATTACAAAATTAAATTCGGGGCTTTTAACTTTCATTTTTGAAACATGGTTAGAACTGTGTAGCGGAAAAAAACATATTTTAAATCAATTAATTTATAATATTAAAATATCAATGCTCTGTAAATTTACATTGAGCACTATTTAGTAAAAATAAAAATATCTATAAGAACACCGGATTATATATCTTACTGTCCCTTCTTTTTATATATATATATATATATATATATATATATATATATATATATATATATATATATTGTGTTTTATGCAGCATCCCTCCTGTAAAGTATGTGTTATTGAAAATGATCGACAAAGTACTTTTGCTAATTTTTTTGCGGGGGGGGCATTATATTAAAGCAAGACGTTTCTCTTTAAATCTATATAAGACAACAAAGATATGGTTCTACAGAAGGATGCTGAGGTTAGATAAAGCCTGTAAGCAACGAGGAAGTTTTATGGAAAAATGGAAGCAGAAAGATCAGTTATACTTAGAATAAGAAAGAGACAGATGTTATTTCTTGTACAAATGATGCAGAAAGAGGGCTTGGAAAATTGGACACTCACAAGACTTATCGAATGCAAAAGAGCTTACAGGATCGGATGTATGACTGGAGAATGGGAGGGGTGGTAAAAAGACAAGCAAGAGTTTAAAATTACCTGACGTTCTGGACAGCCTCGATAGTCCATGTCCTGAGGGATTACGGCGCAGAGACTAAATTGGCTATTCATTCTAACCGTTGTTGTCTTATATATAATGCAAACATTTGACCCCTTTTGTAGAAGTGGGGAGCATATTCTCTTTATTATTATTTATCCCGAGATTACGCTTGTCGGCAGGCGTAATTCACATAGTTTAAAAAAAAAGAACAGGACGTCTACTCAAACACGAGTATCTACAAAATAACGTTTAGTGTAGGAGGATATATTTTTGGATAAAGCATCCATTGACTCCTTGGAAAAATATATACATGCATGGGGGCGCGTCGTGGTAGTGTAATGGTTAAGCAAGTTTGTCTCGCCAAATCAGTTACGACTGAATAGTGAGTTCGACCCTCATTGGGGACCCATTCAGCCTTGTGGCACACCTAAACAACTCTTAGAAAATGATTGGGGATTTCGACGTGGTTAGCAAGCGAGTCTCGCTAGACCAGTTACGACTAAATAGTGAATTCGATACTCACTGGGTGCTCCATAATTTAGGCCTTGTGCCACATGTAAGCTATGTTTACTAAATAAGTGGTCACTTAGACGTGATGTAATGGTTAGCATGCTTGTCTCGCTAGATCAATTACGACCGAGTAGTGAGTACAATCCTCATTGGGTGCTCCATATTTTTGGCCTTGTGCCACATCTAAGATACTCCTATGTACCGAGTGTAACAGCAAAATAGACCATAATTATCCATTCGACAAAATGTTTAATATCTAAAAAAGAAAATACTAAACTAATTGAGTTTCTTTTTCTAGGTTTTCAAATAAGATGTTTAGCCATCTTAACGACATTTTTCGCAAGAATCACCTGACTGTCTTCCTAACTGAGCAAATGGTGGGAGGAAAATGATCATGCAGACCTTCAGTAGTGGTACCAAAATCCATACTCTGGCTTCCATCTTCAATGTGCATTCAAGAACCATCAAGAGAACGGTGAATCATTTTAAAAAAGAGGGAACAGTACAGTGGAAAACTGGATCAGGAGGTCACAAATGGAATAAGGATCATCATTTCAACTTAGAGCTAAAGAGATCAATTAGAAAAGATTCAACTCAACCCATAAGACGTTTGGCACGTGAGAGAGGAGTTTTGCGTATGACAGTCCAAGGAACAGTGAAAAAAAGACTTGAAAATGAAATCGTACGTGAAACCTTTGAGAAAGTTAGAAGGTTAGAGAAGGTGAAGATCATCTTGAATAAGTTTGAAAATGATCCAGGAATTATATATATATATATATATATATATATATATATATATATATATATGAATGAATGAATTTCAATCCTTCATGATCTTTCGATCCTTAGCAATGGTTAATTAATGATGAAAATATCATTTTCGTTTATGATCGATTTCATCACGATTGATTCTGGTAATGCATTCTTATTGTACTCTACTTATTAAAGTAGAGTACAACAGTCGTTATAAAACTTCGGAGGGTGCCAGTAAGATATCTTTAATCATTTCTAAGTTACAATGATTGAAAGCTTAATCCTAACAATTGGACAATTTTGTTACATCCGATATATATATATATATATATATATATATATATATATATATATATATATATATAATAAATAATTGATTTAAAATATGTTTTTTTCGCTACACAGTGTGCCACAAGGCTGAACGGGTCCCCAATGAGGGTCGAAAACACTATTTTGTAAAAATAAAAATATCTCAAAGAACACAGGATTATATATCTTACTGTTCTTTCTTCATATATATATATTTATATATATATATATATATATATATATATATATATATATATATATATGCATATATATGTGTTTGTGTGTGTGCGTGAGTATAATTGTAATCCGATCAGGGATTTTTCCCCAAAATTTATTCATTCGTTATTCTCCTTTGCTCGTAATCGATTTTATTTATTTTATTCACATTTTCTATTTTATTTTTTATTTACTATTTCTGCTTTCATTTCTTCCATAAAAACAGTCCCGTCACACAAGACAATATAGATAATGAAAAAAAAATGTCTAAATGATATATGGTGGTTTTCTAAGCCCGGCTTAGATGTGGCAGAAGGCCGAAAGTATGGAGCACCCAGTGAGGATTGAACTCACTAATCAGTCGTAATTGATCTAGCAAGGCAAGCTTTCTAAACATTACACCGCGTTGAGGTGCCCAAACATAGCTTACATATAGACGAAAAATTGGGCGACACAGTGAAAATCGAACTCACTATTCAGTTACGATTAATCGATCGAGATAAGATCGCTTAACCACGTCGATATGTCTAAACCATGTGATGTGTGTATAACATTTTAAATGGGGATTTTGAAAACATCTTTGAGTTAACGCTGTGACAGTGTCTCGAGTATTAATGGAGGGTTAAAGTGATTTTCTAAGCTTGGCTTAAGATGTGGCACAAGGCCTAAAATATGGAGCACACCTCGTGGATTGAAATCACCTCTCAATCTTAATTGTTCTTGCGAGACAAGCTTCCTAACTATGTCGAGGTGACCTAACGTAGAGTTAATTTTCGGCAGGAGATTTCTCTAAAATCTTTTCATTCGTCTTTTCCACATGTCTCCATTTTTGTTATTTTCTTCGACTCAATTTCTTTCTTTTTCCGTTCATTTTTGTCACCTTTCTTCTTGTCGCGCGTTTAGTTTTCATTCGTTCTTTGTTTTGCTCGTTTTTTATTTATGTTTTTTCTTTCTTTTCTTTTCTTTTTTCATTCATTTCCTTCTTT